TTCCGATCAAGATATCCAATTTTCATATCACTGAATTTGATTAAGTCTTCAGGCATCAAAACGCTTAAAGAAATATCACAGTTTTATTGGAAATCTCAAGAGCTCGGTTTTGACAATATTTCTAAAAAGAAAAATTACATTGAATATTGGGGGAGGCTTAAAGTCCCTAATACATTCTAAATACATCATCATCAAAATCTATAATATTTTTCTCAACAATTTCCCCTTTTTTGATGATGACAAACAAGTGTTTAAGAGTTCCGGTCACTGTACTGAGAACTAATTTTATAACTTTCTTTTAGTTTCTCATAATATACAGCTTGTTAACAAAAACTCTTAAACAAATACAATACAAATTACAATAATTCCTAAACCAAGTCTTGTCTTGAGATTTTGTGATATCTTCCGCCATTGACCGTTTTCAGCTCCAGCAGATTCTGCTTGGCAGAGCGGTTGGCGTTGCGTTTGATAGATCTCTATTATCCAAAGTGGATAACCAAGATCTAGGAAGCAACACATCTCTCAAAAAAAAATAAAAACAAAAACAAGAACGAAAAACGAAGAGAAGCGGAGGGAAAGGAGGCGGCGGTGGAAGAAAAGAAAAAGACAGAAAGAAATGGTTTTGGAAAAGAGAATTGATTGTGAAAAATTTATAAAGATGAAGGAAAAAAAAATTTTAAAAGAAATTTTGAAAAAGAGTTTTAGAAAATTTTTTTGAGAACTCCTTGAGAGAAGGGAGCAGAGGCAGTACCCAAAAAAAACTTGTAAGAAGAGTGGGGCGACTGCTCAAAAAAGATTTAGCAAAAGTAAAGAAAGGAAAGGGGAGGGGAAGGAGATCAAGGTAAAAATAAAAAAGAAAAATAGAGAGAGTGTTGTTCCAGAGAAAGTGTATGGTATAATCCTGAAAAATACGAGAATTACACCATAAACTTTCTCTACTGCCGAGAATTGCACCATAAACTTTGAATTACTTTCCTTCTCACTAGGATTTTCTCCATTGCCGTCTATGAGGGTGAGAAAGAAAAATTTCTCCATTGAGGATATTTTCTTGGTGTTTTTCTCAAACAGTGAACTTGAAGACTTTCATATTTAGAGAGTTGTTTGTGATGGAAATGGATTGGGATATCTTGATTTAAATAGGGGAGGAGGAGGTTCACGGGTTCCATTAAGTGGGTAGTTGGAACGGTGAGAGTAAAGGAGTTTCAACTTCCAAGAAGTTGAAAAGTAAAAGGAATCTTTTACCAGTTACCAAAGAATTGAAACTGTTTTAATTAGAGAATCAGTTTCGTTTGGTTTGAGAAACGTAACTGTTTTAGTTTGGCTAAGCTCAAAAGAGTGGCCCAAAAAGAAAAGAAAGCTATGTACTAAAGGGAAATTATTCCTATTGGGTTCTCAAGGCCCAAAATAAAACTATCATTTTTCATTCCCTATAATTCTAATTTCTAAAATAGGACGAGGTAGTACCAAAACAAATATGAATTTTAATTTTAAAAGAAAAGTGGTACTATTATTCCAAAGTCCTTTACATTATAAAAATCCTAAGGACCAGTACTTTTAGAGCTAGTTGGAAATGAATTAAGGACTAAAGCTTAGTTTAAGAAGACAGATTTTGTAAAGTACCTGAATCGGAGATTTCCAATTTTAGTACCAAAACTGAGATATCCGACTTCCATTGCTTAGAGCTTATCAATAATTCATAGCCAAAGACAATTGTTAGCCAAAACTAGTTAAGTTCCCCCTGAATTACATTCCCCCTGAATGTATGCGCCTCAGAAAAAAATAATTAAGACAAAATCATACTTGAGATAAGCATAATTAAGCATAATAAGCGCAATTAAGACATAATTAAGCAATGTTTAAACTAATCAAGCAATGTTTAAACAAGAAGGTGTTTTCATCAAAACAAATTAGTATTTTCACATACTTTCCCCCTGGTTTGATGAAAAGAACCTTCAGTTCCTTTTGCGTTTTGAAGATCCGGCAATCTCACTGATGCCCTGCATGTTCCCACACAGTTCTTTGATACGTCTTAAATTTTCACGCCTTTCTTCTGATTGAGCAGCATCTGAGAAGTGATCAACAACTGCACCTATAAATTCTGTTCCATCCAGTCCTGAGCTGGATAGGTGTTGTGCTGAGTTTTCTGGATTTCTTTGTTGTGCTTCAAGGATCAGATTAGTCATGTTCAGATGAGAAGGGATATAAGATGTTTCTCCTTCGTTGACTGCAATAGGGAGCTGTGGTATTGGAGATGGACTGTGTTGTTGGAGAATCACTTCCATCTTGCGGTTCCCAGTATGTGCACCAATAAGTCTGAACAGCTTGTATGCTTCCTTTTGATTGTGGATAATTTTCTAAATCTTTTCTCACTTGTCCGCTTTCTGAGAATTCCGGTCTTCAGTGAGTCTTCCGATTTTTAGCTGACAAATCTGGAGGAGTCATTTTCAGACTTCCGGGTGAGAAAGAGATCCGCGCTAGTCTTCCGATTTGGATGACTTAGCCTTCAGCAGGTTGTAGCGAGACATCCGGTTTTTATATAGTCTTCCGGATATGAGGATTTTCATCTGATTGAGAAATCCTTACTTGTCTCTGACATTTCCGATCAAGATATCCAATTTTCATATCACTGAATTTGATTAAGTCTTCAGGCATCAAAACGCTTAAAGAAATATCACAGTTTTATTGGAAATCTCAAGAGCTCGGTTTTGACAATATTTCTAAAAAGAAAAATTACATTGAATATTGGGGGAGGCTTAAAGTCCCTAATACATTCTAAATACATCATCATCAAAATCTATAATATTTTTCCCAACAAAGTAATTAGTCGAACTGGGCCCGAAACCCGTATGGTTAATAATGCCCAGAGCAAATGATGGAGGTTACC